AAGTATTAAGAACCTCCGCCGAACTTTCTTATTACCCTAACCAAAGACCGGCTGTTTTTTAAGTGGTTCTTTAACTTACAAATGCCGGCCAAATGACCTGTAAAATGATTGGAACCGAACTGCCTGAAAGACTATAGCCTTTTAATGGAAAATGTGAAATGTTTTGGAAGAGGGTTGGCACCTTTTTAGAAATTCCAAATCCATTTATTTAACAAGTTAAACGAAATACTATTCAAATGGGGGTATCAAAAGAGTGGTAAGACTATATTTTGAAAATATTTTTAAAAGGATTGCCACCTGTTTAAAAATTCAAAATCATAAATTGCCAAGTCTAATTAAATAGTTTAATATGAGTATCAAATGATAAAAGTTTTAAGAAGTTTTATGTAAAAAATATTTTTTAAGAGAATTGCCACCAGCTTAGAAATTCAAAATCAATTTAATTAACAGGTTAGTTGGCATGAGTTTCAAACGAGATAGGTTTTGGAAAGCTTTTTTTCCAAAATATGTTATAAATCATGATGCCACCATCATACAAATACATATAGGACTGTATAAACGTTTGTACATATACATATGTACATATATTACCGAAAGTTATGATGTGCTTAATACTTAAATGGCTGATTTTTTTTTTATGTGGCACAAAAATTGACCATGTCCTGAGATTTAATTCGTATCGCAGAATTCCCAAGAAAGGGAAATATCGAGACTGGTTCGATAAAGGTAACCATCTGAGTAGCAAAACGTTAAACCGTAAATCATGCAACGGGCCGCTGTCAGAAGCTAGTAAATATATCTGCATGTAACTGACACAAATTTTTTATTGCTTAAAATGATGTGGGGACTTATAATTCGATGAAATGCATCATATTTAATCAATCAAAAATGGAATTTTGAATTTTTACTTAGTTACGGCTTTTTGTATTTCAGCGACGATTTGAGATAGGGCTTTTTCTATATTAAGGTAACGATATAATTTAGTTATGAATACTGAAACCGAAGTCTAGTGAAAAGCCGCTAAAAATTTTTAGCCATCCTTAATGTCCAAAATTCTGGGAATTTCTCTTTGAAATGTATTTCTTATTTTGCAGGCATGTGTTCACCGCACTTTTCACATTTTATCTCCTTTAGCACTCCGTGGTAAGAAAAAAATAAAATAAAATTGTATTAACGGAATAAATATTTTATTAAACGAATCGTTCTCAGTAGATT